CAAAGAACTGAATAAGATTGACTAAGTAAGAAATTATATTTTAGAGCAAGTATGGTTTAACTGCATGCCTGTGGTCCCCTCTGCCTACCCCTTCTACTAACTACAGAGAGCGAAAAAACCTTTAAAGAACTGAATAAGAATGACTAAGTAAGAATTTATATTTTAGAGCAGGTATAGTTTAGCTGCATGCCTGTGATCCCCTCTGCCTACCCCTTTACTTCTTTTCCCTTTCTCCATCATCGCTCTTTTCGTCCCATTCCACCTTCTATGCAATGCATATTAGGGACCTCTAGATCCAACGAAGAGTACAAGATCGAGTACAAGTACGAGTTTAAAATTGATCCTGTGCATGTGGTTAACACTGGATCGTAGTGGATTGCCAATTTTTTACAATCTAAAGTTTCAATCTACATAGAGGAAAAGATAGTGCCAATCTTTAAGTTAAAAACTTGTACTCATACTAGTACTCGTACTTGTCATCAGATCGAAAGGTCTTTTCAAAAAGAAAGAAAAACTGCCTCTTCAAGCCTAGGTATTTTAACAATGGCTTGACCAATAAGGATAATCAAAGTATTTTACACTTACTTAAAAATCTCTTTAGCTTTCTCTGGAACATGTTTAACTGGTGTTGCTTTGAGCTTCTCACAAGCCAACCAAAATCTAGAGAAAAGGATCAGAATGAGGCAAAGCAGTCAGCCCTGTATGGTGGTGGGTGCTGCACAGGTGGAGCTCAGACACTTATCCTCAGTTATTTTGCACCAGTGGTATGGATGGTATCAACTAGCGTAAGGAGGGTCGAGGCACATGTGACGCCCTCAATTCCTGGGTCCTTACCATGCCCCTGGGCCCAGTTGTGTGAAGCCTGGTAGCGCTATCTGAAGGATAAATCTTATCCAGTAGATAAATTTATTGGATAACAGCATCGACTTATCCACTGGATAAGGATTTATCTGCTGGATAGTGCTATCCAGGCTTCATACAACCGGGTCCTGTTGCGATCCTGGTCTCAATCTACATCTTGATTACTTTACATGAATTTGCTTCACCATTGTAAAGTCAGTGAGACAGTTGGAAACTGCAACAGTTGATTTAGGGAATTACTTTCAACCCTTACATTCACCTTGGAAGTAATGTGTTAATCCCGGGGGGTACTCCCTTTGTTCAGGTGGTAGGGGTGATCGGTGCTCCTTTTAGGGTTGAAAATGTTCCCTGTGTGGACCTTTTAGGGGTTCCAGCTCAAAAGTCAATTACACAACATAACTCTGTACCTTTTGGGGTCATTTATTATGCGTGTTATCCATGCTATGCTGCTGACAGTTGACTTTACAATGATGCACTAAATATTTCTTTAACATGATCATCGTTATAATCTTATTATACGCTGTCCTGTCATTCGTTAAACCTGCATTGATAGCCTGGGTTAATAGTAAATTACTGAAATAAAGCTGTACCTTTTAGGGTTTGAAATCAGGTTTGTTTTTAAGAGCCTTTTTAATTTATGCGTACCTTTTAGGGGCCATTTTAAAAATCGACCGCCGATCACCCCTACCACCTGAACAAAGGAGTACCCCCCCCCCCCTCCCGGGTTGTTAATCCTATTAGTGAGAATACAATTAGCAATTTATATACTCACCCTAAATTCTCTGCACTGAATTCCTTTTCAAGGAATCGTGTAAAATGTCTTCTCCCCAGGGGATCTTGGAGTAGCTCAGACAATGAGAAGCCCCATCGCTTGACCCTCTTAGGAGGAACGTAAGATCTGACAACACAAATAGAAATATCAGTAGAATATCCACTGGTTTGTTATGCTAAACTTTGAAGATTGTAATAGGGTAATTCCAGGGATTTCTAAATGGTTTTCCAGATATACTGAAGAATCCTGGTAATGACTGAAATGTGTTCTATTTAAAAAATGTGTAATAAGGAATCTTATTCACTATGGAAAGACATGTGGTCTGCAATGGGATAACTTTGCAACAAAAATAATATAAAGGTCTATATGCTTTAATGGTGGCTTTAATTAATGCTGTCGTCATGTCCCTGCCATGTACTGTAGTTTGCATGAAAGCATGTGCTTACAAGGAATTATCTTGTTCCCATAAGGTAATGTCATCAGTTATCCAGGGATTGGATGGCTCTGGACAAGATATGAATGAGTCGTACTCTGCATATAGTTCATAATGTTGGATTAAACTGAAAATATTAAAAGAACAATTGATTAAAAACATAATCAAGTTTGACTAATAATGCAGCACTGCATCAGGCAAATCACCACTTTTGCGGCTTCTAAATTCCGATTCGATCCTTGTGCTTTCACCTAGTTGGATCCTTGCACTGTTGTGATTGTCCCACACTGCAAAAGCTAATGATATTTGCAAAACTGTGTGAAGCACAGCCTGCGTATACAAGTCTGTGGTCTCAAAAACAAAGTGGTATGCATTGATTGCGTACCACTGGCGTATTCCAAATCTAGGCATGCAATGTCATAATGAATGATAGTGAATGTCCAACAAAAGCAGACGTCATATTGGATTGATTCATATTTACCCTAAAAAACATGCATGTATATCTATGTTACATTATGGTTACCTTTCAGAGGCCTGGGAGGTTTTCATTCTTCTTCTGTGAAGGTTTTCTTTCAGTTCTTTGACCTAGAGATACAGGTTGGTTATTGGATAGTCTAAATCTCATTCCTACATTTTCCATTTTCGTTCTTTTTCAATAATAATCATTCTCACTCCCAACTTAGTTCTCCACTTAATACACTGCTAATCAAAAAACCCTTGGCACCTAGAAATATTTCCAGAATGTTTCTTAATCAGTGAGAAGCATAAGTGATGATGGCAAAACAATTGTCATCTCATGGGACCTGATTTAGGGGGGAGGGGTGGTGTTACCCGGTACCCACCACCTCTGGAAGTAAAATATTAGATTTTGTCCCCAAATATCTCCAAAACTAAAAGCCAAATCACAGAAATGAATGGACTGTCTGTCTGAATGTATGCTAAAAAGCATATTTGTGTATAGAAAATGGCACCCAATATCGAGCATTTAAACAGGTCTCTGAGGGGGAGATGGTATGTACCGGTACCCACCACCTTAATCTATTAAATCGGGTCCCTATTTTGGACCATTGTTTTGACCTCGCCCCTTATTGTTATCTTATTGTTATCTTTCTGTTATCTTGTGGTTAGAAAGTCAATTTGATTGCCCAAAGATTGGCCTGGAATATTTCTAGGTGCCCAATGTTTTTCAATTTGCACTGAAATATTTATTACTGGTTTGCTTAATTTGATTTCATTTCTCATTCCTTACTGTTTAACTAAATCTCCATTCTCATTATTTTTCAATTTCCATTCACAATTTTATCCGGGCATTCTTACCTCAATCCTAACTTCATCTAGTGCAGTGAAAGCAGCAAGGGGAGAACAATTTTCTAGACTTGATAATCCAGAACGCAAAACCTTAGCCTGGGAATAGAAGTAAGAAAAAAAGTTGCTTATAGAAGAAGGAAAAACACCACTCCGCCACCTAAATTTTAAATCTAAAACTGTGTCCGACACTTTATCCAAAAAAAAGGAAGAGCAATTTTGTACCTTTCGTCTAGTGTTTGGAGAGACTTCGGATTTGCAAGCTTTTTTGATGTCAACTTCAGTCACTGATACGCACCCCGGCTACAAAACAAAGCAAAACAAATGCTAACATGAAAATTGGTCATAAACAAACAAACAGTGTTTACAGTACATATTTGATCTAAGGATGTTAATGATTTCTGTATGTCTTCTCTTGATCCTGCCGCAGAAATATTATTATTATATAAATGCACATAATGCAGTGATCAACAGTCTTACCCTTAAGGTAATAGTGTACTTCATGACCAGTCAACACGTCATGTTTGTCGACTATCACTTGACTGTTGGTATTATAAACTAATAATTTAGGCTTTCAGAAGCCATAATAAAATTGAGGTTCAACCATTTTGTTTCATATAAATGTAAAAAAAAAATTTATTCATTCTTCCTTTAATAAAATTTCAACAAGTTACAGTGTATTTAAGGTTTTAATCAGTTGATGAAAGTGTTTGTCTCTCAAATCAACCCTAACGAATTCAAACTTGTTAGAGCTGTGCTCTGGGGTCATACATGGACTGTATAGTGGCTGCCAGAGGCACCTTCACATGTCTCTCAAATCAACCCTAATGAATTCAAACTTGTTAGAGCTGTGCTCCTGGGTCATACATGGACTGTATAGCGGCTGCCAGAGGCACCTTCACATGTCTCTCAAATCAACCCTAAGGAATTCAAACTTGTTAGAGCTGTGCTCCTGGGTCATACATGGACTGTATAGCGGCTGCCAGAGGCACCTTCACATGTTTTCAGTTCAACTATATTGAGTTTACGACACTAGTGTACTTAGGTGATTAGCATCATGACCAGTTTTTTTCCTTTTGTTTTTTTTAACTATTGAACACGTTGTCACTGACCACCAGAAAGAATCATACTGAAAACTTGCAATTACCCCAGTTTCAAATTATCTGTTACTCAGTGTTGAAGGTCTGTAAAAATTTCTAAATGTTTGTACTGCTGTTGTGATTTCTTTACTTAGCCTATGGTATTTGTGAATATTTTGACAATGAAAGGCTAACCCTGAGTAAAATGGGTCTGTAATCAACTAACACATCAGTATTTGAGTTATTCAAAAATAGTCTATTCAGTAGATGAACGTTCTGTATGAGACAGGAAATACCAACTAAAATCACATAATTTGTAAGGGAATTCAGTAGTGCATTCCTGCAGATAACGTACTCACAGGAGGTCTATGAACATTCCAGAATGCTCTTTCTTGACTGTCTAGTATCTGCCTTTCCATCTTATCCCTCTTTTTATCAACTCTAAACATTTAGGGAATATTTAAGCATTAGTTTTCTGACATGTATTAAAAAAGTTATCAATTTATTCATTGTGAGCATTTGATCATATTCAAACTTATTAACTTAGAATTTGTACATTATAATAATAAATATTATCAAAATTCAGAAAAACACTGAGCTGCAGATGGGATTTGAACCCACAACCCTCCACACAATAATACTTAATTAACAGATCAAAAACAGTTTTCCTTGCTCTCGAGTGTTCTCCCAACATCCCAAGTGTTTTGATCAGAGTAGAGTGCTCACACTAAATCCGTGAAACAAATACTAATTTTTAGCACTAAATAGTGATAATTAAACAACAGAAAACAAAGGATTCTGCATGAAATAGTACTAATTAGTACTATATAATGTTCACGGTTTTAGTGCGAGCACTCTATCAAACATGAAAAACTGTTTTTGATCTGTTTTATAAAATAACAAACGCGCGAAAAGATCAAAAAAAGCAAAGTATAAGTAAATTCTCCCTACGTGCCGTCTTATTCAAATTGACCAATGAGCGTGCGCGATGTTTTGATACTCTCATCAAACATGGTTTTCGACCAATCATAGCGCACGTAGTATCCCAATTATTTTATAATATTTAATATTATTGTGTGGAGGGTTGTGGGTTCAAATCCAAACTGCAGCTTAGTGTTTTTCTGAATTCCCTTTGTACCTATCAATGTTAGGGGGAAGGGGGGGCTTTGAAAGTTGAATTTTTAACAATTATTGATACAACTAAATTTTTTAACAATTATTT